AATTCTCTACAGCTAAAAGTCTACAGTCACAGTCTTCACCAATTGGAGCTTATATGTTTTTAGTTATTTTTCGTTAACTTATAATTTTATGTGGTTTTTTTTGTTTTCTTTACAGATTGTTCAATAGAGATGAAGTATTTACATAATTGTAGCTTTTCAAACAAAAATTAACCTATAAACTATTGTTTAATGAAAAATAAACATATATATGAAATAATTTATTAAAACTTAAATAAAAGACCAATCGGAGCCATATATATGTTTTTAGTTATTTTTTGTTAACTTATAATTTTATGTGGTTTTTTGTTTTGTTTACAGATTGTTCAACATAGATGAAGTATTTTACAGAATTGTAGTTTTTCAAAAAAAAAAAATAAGTTGTAAACTATTATTTACTGAAAATTAAACTTTGATTTAGTTTTAAATTATATAAGTTTGATTGTTTCAGTTTGAATAAGTCTTTATGTTACTGTTTTAATTTGAATAAGTCTTCATGTTTTGTAGGAGTTGAGCACGTTATTAGTTTTAGAGTTTGTTTCGGTGTTTCAGTTGTAAGGTCTATTTAAATACCAGCTTGCTTTCATGTCTAATACACAAGAAGTATTCTAAACTTTTTATGCTTTACAAAATTATCAGTTTCATATAACAAGTGGTATGAGTGAGAAAGATACGTTGATCATTCCCATGTTCGATGGAGACTATAAGCATCAGGCTATGCTCATAGAGAATTTCCTCTAATCAAAGGAGTGGTGAGATCTCATTAAGAAAGGGATCACGCAACCAGAGAAAAATGTTATCTTGACAGAACTATTTACAGAGCTAACATTGAAGACCGCCACAAATCACAAGGTGAAGAACTACTTGTTTGGTTCCAAAGACAAGACGATTCTGAAGATGGAGACGTCAAAAGACTTGTAGGAATCTATGAAGAGAAAGTATCAAGCAAACAACATAGTGCAAAGTGCGCAGTTGCAGAAGTTGCACAAATTTTTTGAGGTGCTTAAGATAAGGATAGGAAAAACAATCACTAGTTCTCTCTCTAGAGTAATAGAGATGGCCAACAACATGCAGAACTTTGGAGAAGGCATACCAGATTCTAATATGGTGGAAACGATTTTAAGTTCACATACGTTGTATGCACCATTGAAGGGAAATGATATCAAAGAGCCGATAGTGAATGGGCTGCAAAGCTCTCTGATGGCGCACGACCAAAACCTGAGCAGGCATATGAGAGAGTAGCATGCTCTAAAGGTGGAAGGAAAATGGAAGCTGAATGGCGGCAGAGACAGAGGAAGTCATCCAACTGGAAGGCGAGGACAAGGAAGATACCAAAGAAGAAGACATGGAAATCTGAACAAAAAATGGTGGATGTTACAAATGTTACAAGATGGGACATTACAAGTCAAAGTGTCTAGAGTGGGAAAAAGAGGCCAACTATGCACATATTTACATGATTAAAGGTGAAAATGAGCACATCTGGTACCTAGATTCAGGTTGCAACAACAACAAAAGAAAACTGTACATTGAAAAAAAAAATCTAGAGCTTATAAATGGATTTAATGAAGCTTTATTTTTTTTTTTTTATGAATAACCAAAATATTTTTTTTTCAGTACAAAGCATTTTTTCTAAAGCCTATAATGTTAAGCTTTCCAAAATTCTATAATTGTACAGAAATAAAATCTATAATCACAGCAAAAAAACTAACAACCATATTTTTACAAAAAAAACATAAAACTACAGTTGTTACCAATCATGCCTAAAATTTAATATAGAATCTGCAGCCAATCAAAGCTTTAAATACATTTCTAACATTACTTGCAACTTTTCTAGATAATTCATATGATAAAGGTCAAATTCACATGGAACTGAAAATCTAAATGATGAATACATTGCATATTGCATTATTCAGATATTGGAAAAACTTTGAAATTTTAAAAATCCACATCTCTCTTATCTATTTATTCTAATATAGTAATTTTTTTTAAAAGCAACTCTGATATTCTGTCATATGTCATTTTGGAAACTGACATGTGTCATATTTTTTTGTATATGTTAACATTTCAGAGGAATGACCAGTTCCACCATATTTTATTTTTCTGCAATAACTGAATATATTCATGGTTTTTTAAACAACTAGGTTATAACATACGCCATACGCAGGATAAAAATACTACAAACAATTTTATTAATTATGCTTTTAAAATAATTTAATAAATTTTATTGTGTGTATAATATATATGAGTAACAATAAAATTTATTTCTAAAATTTTATAATTACAGCAGACTTATTATATAAATTTACTATCTACCACATAATTTGATTGCCACTTGATTTTAAAATTACATATCATCATTCAGAACCTATAATATAACTTTAATATTACATGTCATTAATCATAGTCATTGTGTTGAAGATTATATATACTCCAGTCTCTATTTTTAATCAAAGACTGAATAATAGCTAATTATGTGATTGTTAACTGTGTAGAAAAGAAATACATCATTTTTGGTAATTTTCAATTTTTGTAAGTGTAAAGTATTTGATGTAATTATTAAAAACAAATGTATATCTTACCAAATGATGTGAACAGTGTTTATGAAATTAAATTGAGAGGAAAAAGATTAGATTTACCAATTTAGACAAATATTTTTTTTGCTTTTTAATAGATTTACTTCAGTTTAATAGAGAATATTATTTGAATGATAACATCAAGTTTGTTAAGATTAACATAACAAGATACTATATATATTAAAATTTTTTTTTTTATATTCGAATCAAACCGAACAAAACTAGATTCTGTTTTTAATACACTTCATTTATCTCTTAAACCTAAAGAATCCTAAAAACCGAAAGATCCCAACTGAATCCGTACCTGAAACCACTATAATATCTAGCATTATCTACATATTTTTATTTTTAGGATGATATTTTAATAATCCCGGGAAATATACACACATGAGATAAAATGACAGAAGCGATGGGGTGTACCTACAAACGCAGATTACGGACGATAGACTGGCAAAAGGGCCAGTAGCCACTAACCAATTTGCCATGTGAACATGAAATCTCACTTCGTAAGGGACCATTTGGTCCATTTTCATTATTACCATTTTATAAATTTATTCATCTACAAACATATACATAAATACATTTATAGTCTCACATGCAGCACGTACATGTGTGCATGTGCATCAGTGTATATATATTCAATATATAAAATGTGCTTTTAGCAAATTATATAATATTTGATACACAATGACAATAATTGGAATATATTAATTTCAAAAGCTGAATGGATGAATTGAAGAAACTTTACAGAATTGTTCACGCTTGAATCACTCACTGATTATTTGCCCCCAAAAAAAAGAATCACTCACTGATTATATACACCATCTGTGATTCTGTGTTTATATACAATGAGTGAGTTACAAATGAATATATATTTTAGTTTTAAATATTAAATTCGATTGTAAACTCTTGTGTGGGGAAAAATCTACCTTTAATTAAGAGATGTATAATTAATCTCAAAAAAATAAATAACAGAGTGATAATCTCAAAAGAATGTAAAATCTATTTTTTCTAAAATTAAACCCCTTAGGTTATCATCAGAAAATTAAAATTCGAAGCCGAACACAATCTAATAATGGTAAAAATAATAAAATGTGTTCTTGATCGATGAATTGATAAACGAAAATTGATTACACAAAATTGTATTTTTCTATAATATTTGTGTATATTGAACGTCTGAGTGATTCCCTTTAACGCTATTTTTCATGTCTTAGATTGATCCATTTTGACTTTTTGATCTCTTTTCTCGGGCTTTCCTTCCCGGTTTTGTTTTTTGTGAGAATCAAAGCTTATTTTTCAAATGAATAAAATTTAATAAGTTTTAGAATGAGATAAAGTAATTAAAGTAAACATGTTGCTCTAAAGGTGAATATAAATTTAGATACTCTATTTAGTCGCATGTTACGGTATAGGTGAATATCCGTAAAAGTTGAGCTCGGCCCACGAGTTTCAACCGTTTTGATACGTCTAAGGGTACATACATGAAGACTGAAATCGAATTCAAGGGAAAACGAGATTTCATTAACCTAGTTACGTTTGGTGAAAACTCTATTTTGGTCAAAAACTTTGAACTATTTTAATTTCCGTCCAACAAAAAAATGCATGGATAAAAAGTTCAGAGTTATGCGGTTAAAGAAAATTCAATAAATAAAATAGCTTGCTATAAAAATAAATAAATCTGACCACTAATACAAAGAAAGGTGTACAATAATGAGAAGGACCCATGACCAGCTGTGTAAAATGTAAAAGAAATGGGGAGTACGAAACTTAAAATAGTAAATAAGTAGAAATGGTAGCTATATGTTTACATGTTCAATCAATGTACTTATGCTTCTTCTGTGCTTTATGTACAGTCATCAATATTCATCTGATGTCAAGACCCAAATCTTTGTAGGAATTTTACGAATTACGAAGCATCTCTACTTGTAGTAAGTTTATGCAGTAAGGACAATTTCTATCTCTAACATAGACTAACATGGCAAAATTATTGACACAACCACTATTAATATTACAAGTTTGTTAGATGCAATGCAAACTTATTTATCTTGCTATAAATTAACTCTCAAAAGATAAATCCAAATTCACTCTTCTAAGTTTATGTTGTCGATTCTTTTTGTATTGATTCTCACAAAAAAACAAAAAACAAAAAAAAAAAATTAAATCTTAGAAGAATTGTTGCATTCGTCGATTTTTGGTCCCAAACGTAATACAACATTTATTTGTTATGGAAACATTAGTAACTTGATACAATATCAAGAAAAGAAAAATCCCCACATAGTATATGCAATATGAAGGGAAAGAAGAAAAGAAACACCCACATGGTTTTCATAAAGACAATGTACAATAGCTAACACAGTAAAGGAAGAGAGGGTGTTCCTTCTATTCGAGAGAAAGAAAATAATAAATATTCGAATTATCGAATATCATTATTTATTCTCTTCTCTTTCTCTGCTTGCTGCCACCTGCGAATACACATATTGTCAAGCTAAGAATTCTTTTTTACATGCATACATTTATACATGCATGATAATACATCATATATTGCATATACATTTTTTATATGAATGTGAAATATATAATGAAGATGTTAAAAAACAATAAAGCTTTATCCTTGCCATATATTATACACTATATACATGATACACACATATACATTCATATCTTTACGAGAACTATGTAATTTAACCAATGAAAGCGATTTTTATGAATCATATCTTTTTTTTATGTCTATTAATTATCATGGTTGTATTAATAATGAACATATTGAAATAAAAAGGACTTATCATAACCTTGATGATTCAACGCTAATTTCTCAACCGGGAAATCTTGTTGTAGTAAACCCGAGTTATATTTTTCCTGCAGCAGAAACAGAAAATATAAAACTGTTCGTCATACCGAATTTTGAAGACGCGCCAAAGTGGTAAAAATAATAATTTATGGCCGTTAAAATATAAGTAATTTGCGAACATGAATCAACAAAGAAAGAATGTAGAAACCTTGCTGATTCTTCGTGTGGAGTAGTTTTGCGAGAAATCATCTAACCTGTGATGATACTGATCTCTATGTAGCTTATGCCCTGATACTTCTCCAACTGGCTAATTAATATATTTACAAAAGTTGATATTAAAATGAACCGCAGAACCAAGGGATTTAGTTGATAAGAAAATTGTAAAAACTCATTTTTAATAACAAAGTTATAACATAAAATGTGGCCTACGAATTAATAAAATATTCGAAGAATATTGACATGACAAGTTTGTAAAACAATTAAACGCCTAAATCGTTTAAGAATTGTATAAAGCTTGTTCAAAAAAATGTTTGTAAAATAATACCCGTGAACTAGCTGTGTCATCAAGGCAAGAATTAAATTGTTTAATATATCCTTGTTCATCATGAACTTTCTTCTTGGTCTTGTTCATGATTATGCTCTTGCACCAGTACTGTGTGTTTTGTTGGAGGAGATCTTCAGGAACGGCCTCTTCACAGTAATAGGGAGGCCCGGAAGATGCGTCCGACACCATTGAAGAATCTTCATCATGTTCTTGGTTTGTTTCTCCATTGGCATCATCCAAATGATGCAATGAAACAGAAGATGAATGGTCTAAGTACATTGTCCAACCTGACTCTCCGGCATCGCTGTATTCGAAATCCGACAAATCCATTCTCTTTTGGTTCGTCCCGAAAACACTAACTTTTTTTGTTATTTGTTTTCTTTCTCTCTAGGCTGCAAGGTCTTTAAGATGAAGATATACTCTCTTGATGCTGTTATGGTAGTAGTTATAATAAGGGTATGGTTTAAAAAATATATTTATCACCATATATCTTGATTGTTTATTTTTTTTTTTAAATAAGAAATATATATATATAGAGAGATAGAGAGAAAAAAAACAAGTTGGATTTTTAATCACCATCTAATTTAATATATCACATAGACTCACATATATATCTGCATTACGAAACCGGAAAAGAAAATAGATTTTCATGATATTCAAAAAGGGTTTAATTTCGTCTAAAGTTTGTTTATAGTGAGATCATTTTGTCTTTTGTTTGTTCTTCCGCCAATGGCAAACTAATCCAATATATCATTAAGAGTCTGAAATGATGTGATATTTTTTTGACATTTTATATGAGAACAAACAAAATTATTTTATTTTTGTCGTTTTAAGTCTAAACATGAATCGAATCCAAAACTCAAAAAGACAGGAGAAATAATATAATTTAAGAAATGTTTTGTCCTATAGCGTAAAACTCCTTTTGGATACTCTTAGCTTGCATGCAGTAGATAATTGACAGTTGGCTTACTGATTATGAACGTTGGGCCATGAAATGGCAATAGGTTAGTGGTAGTGGCAATAGATGTTACGTACTATTCATTTATATCCCATCTTATACTCTTTCACTTTACACCTACACCGTGCACCATCCATTATAGGTGGGTTTCTCAAGAATTTTAATTAGGTTTTTCATATTTGGTTTATTCGAATGGATAATAGAAAGACTCCATACATTAGAAAGCTTAATCCAATTGTTTACCCGCCAAAAAAATATGAAATTTATTGTATTACCTTGCACTTGTTATAATAAGTATTGGATAGGTTTCTAGCATTGATGGAAAGTGAATCATGTGTTTGGGATATTTGAATGTACAGAGAAAACCACTCATTTTAGATATTTATAGTGATGTGGTCGAAGCCGCCGTGGTGTTATAATCTAGATGTATACACAAAATCAAACCATTGTAGTTTGTATTAATGCATTCGTGGTTAGAAATGGCCTTGAACCGATTCTCAATAAAATGATGTATGGAGTCTCTCATTTTCAAGGTCCATTAAAAATGGATCGTATATTCACTAATTTAACATGGATGAGAACAAAGGGGGGGGGGGGGGGGGGGGGGGGGGGGAAGAGGAAATTAGAAGCACTGAGATCCATTTTACATAAACATTCACCAAGTACAAATATCAATCTGTTTTTTAATCGTGGGGAAAAAGAATATAGAAGAGAAAAAAGGCTACTTATATAACATTTTCATGGATATATAAGTAGTTTTAATATCCATGAAACATAATGAGTTTGTCAAGAAAGAGTTGCCTTAACCCAATCCTCTCAAAACGGCATCTCTAAAGTGTTACAACTTTTTTTTCTTTCTTAAATTACTTTTTATTCATTTTTTTTTCTCATCTTTATAAAATGTTATTTAAAATTACATATTCGCCCAAAAAATAATAACGTAAATAGAAAAAAAAGTAACAAAATATTAATAGATACAATCCAAATAAACTCGTATGAAGCAAAGAGAAAAAATCTTAAGCTGGCCTGATTTAAGAGAGTCACTGTTGGATGAAACGGCAACAAGTACATATGACACTTTCTAGATGTTCCTGATTATTGGATGAGGGTAAGGAAGGCTGGATAAAATGATTGTCCCGATCTAAACCAGAAAGTTTTGCTTGAATAAAAAGTTAGATTTCCTTAACTACGGCTGATTTGGAATCCGAATTATGTAATCTTGAGTTTGTTTCCTTTAATAATAAGTTACTGCTTGGAAGATGAGCAGACAGATGAGCCTCAATTTTTTGATTTGAGGAAAACGAGTTAACCCATTTAATGATATCTTTGAATAACACTGGAGTGGAAATGTCGTTATAATCGAAGAAAACGCTCAAAACCTAAAAAGCAAAAGGGGCATTGGAAGAATAAATGACTTCTTGACTCCTCACCCGACCCACATAGCAAACAATCAATTGGAATGGTGAGCCTCCAATTTCGTAAACAATCTCTCGTTGGCAGGCGGTCACAAACCACAACCCACATATGAAACACATAATTTGGAATACATTATTTAAACCAAACTGATTAATGCCAATTAACTACCACATACCGGATGTAAAGAGTTCCAAGTTTTTGAATTGGAGAAATTACCAAACGCACCATTTGAACTGTTATTCTAACTGAAAAGGTCATGACACACTAATTCTAAAATAAACGTAAATAGACCAAAACTATTAAGTTAATGCTTGAAGGTGTAAATCTTAACCTAAACGAATGCTAAAATGATGTAAATAGTGCAACTATCAACTTTCATAATCTTTTCTTCTGATTGCCCTAAAACAAATAAACATAAAAAGATAGAGAAGAAGTTTGATGGTGAGAGCTCAAATCCAAAGATATCAACAAAAGAAATCAAATTAACGTCCAAGTTAGTAGTTCTAAGATGCACTTGAGCTTATCATACTCCAAAGGTTTTAGCCATACTCATCGCAATATATGAAATGAACTCAAGTTTAGCCTACACAAGCATTCATATCCTCCAGCCCTTTAACATTTATTAAGAGTAACCATGGATCATGTTTATGCAAATCAAATTAAAATATTTGGCCAAGGAAAAAAGTCGTGAAATGAAAATGATCTCATTCATGTGAGTTTTCCAATGCAAGAGATCTCTTAAGAAATAATGAACTTTGGCAAAATGCTAATAGTAAAGAACAACCTATACATACAAGGAGAAATTTACATCTACCCAAATGCATTTTATGATCTTGACCCTAATCTCTAAACCCAACAAAGTCTTTTTTCCCAAGGAGTTTTGCCTTTTTGACCCACAAAGTCATTCTTAGGGAAATCGGTCAATTCTTACCTCAACACTTATTCACGGTGATTTGGAATACATTCTTTAAACCAAAATGATTTATGCCAATTGACTACCACATGTAACAGATGTAAAGAGTTCCAAGTTTTCGAATTGGAGAAACTACCAAACGCACCATTTGAACTGTTATTCTAATGGAAAAGATCATGAAGAGTAGAATCAAGAACCGAAACAGGAACATGCAGAGAGAGCAAATCTGTAAACATATTTACAATAGTAGGCCTGCCTCGAGGAAGAGTCCAAGCCCCTTCAAAGTAAGCATCAGCCACCATTGCCAGGACATGGATTCCAGAAACCCTCAGACCATTTGAGCTTGAGACTCAATCAATAGACCAAGTGATGCAGCAGCATCTTAAGCTATTTCCATTTTTAAGAGCTTTCGTATTTCCTTTTCTTCTAATACGTTATTTGGCTTTTAAGCTTTGTTATTTTGGTTAGTTTTCCTTTTCTATGTTTCGTACGAGCTCTATATAAAGAACTCGATTCATTCATTGTAAGACAGTTTTTTGATAATTAATAAAGAAAAGAGAGTTTCTCTTCTTCCTTGTGTTGATTTTGATTAAATTTATCAAGTAAGAAGTTCGGTCTCAAAAGATTTCTATCAAATCTTTTGATTGAGCGAAGTAGGTCTCAAGAGATTGAATTTATCCCTTGATCAAGCTACAAACTTCTTTCTTACGCTGCACCAAGTTGGTATCAGAGACAAAATGTCCTGTCATCATGCCCCGAGTTAAGAAAATTGTCACCCCAACAGAAGCTGAAGTCACACGCCAAACACTAGCGTCTCTTCAAGAACAGATTCATGCTCACACCACCGCAATTTAGAACATGAATTTTCCGCCGGAGGATGGCAGAACCCGAAACAACGCTGAGTTTGATGAAGATGATGATGATGATCACACTGAGCTTAACCGTTTGCTGACAGAAATAACCATCCCAACAACTCTGCATATGACGATAATATGTGGGAATCTGGGTTCAAACTTGAAATTCCAGAATTCTATGGTGGAGCTGCAGCTGAAGAATTACTTGATTGGTTAAGCATGGTGGAATAAATACTTGAGTTCAAACACGTTCCTCTTGATCGATGTGCTCCGTTGATTGCTAGCCGTTTTCGAAACAGAACATCGGCGTGGTGGTCACAACTCAAAAGCTCTCGATCTCGTCAAGGGAAAACAAAGATTACATCATGGGATAAGCTTAAAAAACATATGAATAAGACGTTTCTTCCATTCAACTATGATCAATTACTCTATCAACGTCTACAAAATCTGAGACAAGGAAATCGTTCTGTTGCCGATTATGCTACAGAATTTTTTTCTTTGCTTAATTGCATTGATATTCGAGATTCAGAACAGCAACTGGTGGCAAGATTCATTGGCGGATTGCAACAGAAGATTCAGTATACTTTGAATCTCTTCCGACCTCTCTCTGTATCAGAAGCTCATCAACAAGCCATCACCATAGAAGCTCAGAACCGTGGACCTTTCTCGGCTTGGAACAACCCTCAAACCCAGCGTTTGGGCAGTAATCCTACTCCTCTGCTCGCGGAGACTCCAACTCAACGTCCAGAGACAACTATTGTTCCTCTCCAAAATCAACGCACTAATCGCCCTGGTGGTTTTCGTTGTGTTGCTTGTGGAGAAACAGGACACCATCAGTCAGCTTGTCCAACTCGTTCTCGTCCTGGTTTACTCCTTGAAGAAATTGGTGATGATGTTGAGACAATTTATGATGACGAAGCTGATGAACAAAGACAGATTTTGGAAGGCGATTCAGGTCCTCTATTAGTTGTGAGACGTTCTTGTTTAGCTCCTCCTTCGCCTGATGAATTCCTGCAGCAAAACAACTTATTTCATTCGCGTTGCACAATGAAAGGAAAGGTGTGTTCTTTTATTATCGATTCAGGAAGTTGCGAGAATGTTATTTCTGAAGAAGTAATTAAGAAACTGGAAATTCAAGATGAACCACATCCGTCGCCGTACAAGTTATCATGGCTACAACAAGGCACATATCTATTTGTCATACGTAGGGGTCCAATCAAATTCTCAGTCGGCATAAAATGCAAAGACCAAGAATTTTGTGATGTCATACCAATGGATGCTTGCCACTTGTTATTGGGATGTCCTTGGCAGTTTGATCGCAAGGTTCATTATGATAGATTTTGAAATACCTACTCTTTTTGTTGTGATGGTAAATCTTTCACTCTTGCGCCATCTTCCACAGCTCCAACGACTTCAAAACCGTCTCCTCCAACGACTTTGCTTCTACAAAAATCACTCTTTGTAAAAGCTATGTGTGAAACTGGCATGGTTCTTGTTCTACTTACAACCTCACCCGCTCCTATATTATCACAGTCTATCCCCTCTCCATCTGCTCAGCTGATTCATGATTTTGCTGATGTCTTCCCGGATGATTTGCCACTTGGATTACCGCCTTTATGCGATATACAACATCGTATTAACTTCGTGCCTGATGCGGTTGATATACTCAAATTATCCATAAAGCTACTATCTCAAATTAAGAGGTCACTGCAGTACTTAGGGGTTGAATCCACAATGACAAGATTATTACACAACAAACTTCAGACTCAAATTCAGCTAAGTAAAATGATATAAAGTAAGCTAAATAATGAAACAAGGTAAACAGAAGCAGCGAGCGATTCGTAGGTTCTTAGAAATAAATGAGACAAGGCGTTAGGCAGTGGGAAACTCGTAGGTTGACATAAATCGCAGACTACAAATTGAAAGGATCATTTATGAAATCCGTTCTAGAACTCGAAAACACGAATGTAAAATCAATCGACTTTCATCGCAGAGATTATCTATGAACAGATCCTAGAATTCCAAATTCCTTTGCAAATTCTAACAACCTAATCAAGCTTTAAGGTTCAAGTTCGATATGTTCACAAATCACTAATCCAAATTCCTTTGCAATCAGTTATTTTCCTCATCTAAGATAGTTCTAGTGATTAACAATGCTTCAACATCTATTAAACATCCTAAGATCTGATTTCTGGGTGATCAATCTTAAAATCAGTGTTAAATCGATCTGGATGAAGAGCCAAAAGATTTATCCTAACAATTATGCAGTTCTAACAATTCATTATCAACCTTTGAATAACCCAAAACTTAACTAGCAGATTACTCAGACATAGAAATTAAAACACAAATTATGACTGAATAATTTTGCATTTAAAGAATAGAGTAAAATATAAAGGGATTCGAAATTCTTCTCTAATAGAGTACGAATTTGTCTCCCCAGATTCTCTGAATCTAATCTCTTTCTAAGTCTTAATGGAAACAAGATGATAAGCCTAACAATGGTTCTGAAAACCTAAATACATGTGTAAACACGAGTGGGGCAAGTTTGCAAATAATGGAAAACTTCTGGATCGAGTCAATTCTTCAGAAGTCTTTCATAACTCCAAAAATCGCGTCCACGATCGGTGTCAAACGACACTGAGTGGCTAGTGTCGATTGACACCACATACATAATACTGCTCCAAGTTGGTCTTTTCAGCAACAACTTCAAGATAGCTCCAAAATGCTCCCAAATCCACAATTATACTCCAAACGTACCTATACCTATAAAGACTCAAAAAGACTCGAAAAATACTGAAAAGACTCTATAAACAAGACTTATATCATGGTCAAAAACCCATAAAAACCATGATATATCAAATCCTCCAGACTTAGTTTTTGCTTGCCCTCAAGCAAACAGAAAACTAAATATAGAGTCGAGGTTTTAAAACGCGGGAACTCACCTTCTCATAGATAAATGCTTCAACTGTTCATCCTGTAATTGATATATCTTGTATTTACACCATTTAGGCTTGCATTTAGTACATGTTTTGGTTCTCTTTTGCATGTTTTCCTTAGCTTTTGTCCTATTTTCTTCTCCTTTTAGACTTAGGTTGCATTTAGGTTATAGTTTGCATTTTTCTTGCATTAGGGATGTTTTTAGGTGCTTATGGAGCTAAAAGGAGCTTGGAGAAGCTTTGAGGATGATCCAGGAAGCTAGCTGGGCCAAAAGAAGCAAAATGGACCAAGGCAGACGATCTCTGAGAGCTTATCGGTCTGTGCACGGAGGCTATCGGTCAAGGAGTGACCGATACAAGTCGTATCGATCAAGGCTATCAGTCAAGGAGGGACCGATACAAGCCATTTCGATCAAAGCTATCGGTCATGAAGTGACTGATACACATGTATCGAGTATATTTCGGTCACCATATCGGTCACCTTCCAGACATATAGGATTCGTATCGATCAGCCTAGACCGATACAACTGACCGATATGAACCCAGTCCGAGCCTGTTTTATTTACACTTTTGCCATTACTATGGGGCTTCCTTCTTTTGCCTATAAATAGGTCATTTTCTAGAATTTTCGACAAGTCTTGTCAATTTACTGTTCTTAAGCATTTTCTTTGAGTTTGTAAGACAAATCTTTTGCTTTATTTAATATAAGTTGGTATTTGCCTTTAATCTTTCTTTAATCTCTCTTTTAATCATGATTAGCATCTTTTTCTCTTGTGATTTGGTGTTAAACATGGCTATTAGTGAATAGTTTGCTTAGGGTTTCTAGATGTGGAAGATTAGGAGAATTTAAGGCTTGATTAAGGTTTGTTTAGTGCTTCATTATATGGATTCCTCTCTATTGATCTGTTCTTAAACTAGATTTGTCTTGATCACACTTATCTAGAACTTAGGCTTTCTCTTATGCCCACCAAGTGTTTGATGAAATGCTGATCTTGTTTGAAAGAGGATTTGCTGCCCTTGGCTCAAGATATTGACTGTTTGAGGAGCATTTTGACTTGAATAAAGTTGTTTATTAGTGCTTGCTGAATGTTTTAGCACTAATGAGAGTTAGTTCTTGTTAATGTGTTTAGCAAAGGGCTATTTTACAAGACATTGGATCTAGCTTGCTTGTTTGTGAACTCTATGTATAGGAATCACCATTGCTAGCTTGTTTGCTTGATCAATGCTGTTTGAAACAACCTTAATTAGTTCTTGAATTCCCCAAAGTCAATAACCACATCTAGGAACTTGTCTTTCTCTTTTGTTATATTTTGAATTTTCCCTGTTTTGCTCTGTTTTGCTTGCTTAATCTTGTTTAAACTGTCTTTTTCTTTATTCTCTTTGTTGCTTGATCATCTTAGGGTGTTACATTGGTTGCTTAGGCAACAAAAGCCTTCTATGCTTGCTTGACTTAAGGATTTTTACTCACAACTCTATTGTTTTCAACAAACCCATTTGGATTGACGTTAAACCCAATGCTACAATGACTAGTACAATGGGTGATTGACCAAGA